CGAGCGGCCCCCCAGCCCAGGCCAGCCCCTGGGCCCCCTGCCCTCAGCTCTGTCCGTGCTTCAATAGGCCTGAGGCAGCCCCAGACTGGGGCACCTAGCAACTTCCTGTACATAGACTGTAAAATGGTAAACGTGTGTATTATATCTGGCCTCGTTATATAGTGTATATATATGTATACATATACATATATATAATATATATGAAGACTGTAAATGTTAAGACTAGTGTTCTTATTAGTATATTGCTTCACACTGAAGATTGTGTGTATCGAGCTGTTTCTAAAAGATGTTTATTTTCCTTAAGAGTAAAAAACAGTCATTGCATTCAGAAAAAAGTCAATAAAGATACGATTGTTTTGGAAGTCTGCAGCCCGTGGGTTCGGAGCAGATCCGCCGGGCCGGGCCGGGCCGGCTGGAGGAGCAGGTGGGTGTGGGGGGAAGCTCAGGGCGCCAGCGGAGTCGGGCTTCCGGCTGTTTCTCAGGACCAGAACGCAAGGCCCTGCTGCCGAATTAACACCGCCCGCAGCCAGGGCAGAGGGTGCAGGCCCCGCAGGTGCCTGGATGACGGGGAAAGGTGGGCGCTCCCCAGACATTCAGGGGGACTGGCTTGTAGATTTGTCAGCAGATCCTCAAGGACACTGAGCTGTCCTCCATGCCACCTGGGAGTGGGCGTGGCCCAGAGGTCAGTGGGGTCCAGGCCTATGTCGGGGGGAGACCCCGGACCCCTCTGGTCGGCACCGCGGAAGCACACACCCTCCCCAAAGAAACAAAACCCAGATTATAAATAATTTCATTTTTTATTCTGTACAAAACTTCTCAACCTATGAAAATAAAGTTTATAAATGGCAAAGTAACACTTGAGCCTCAGAGGCCAGGAAAGCCATCGGCCCCTCAGCTAAGGGACATGCGCCCTCTTCCCTCCACCGGGTGCCTGCAGAGCAGCGGCGACAGACCCGACCGGCTCCTGCAATTCCCCGACCGGCCACCAGAGGCCAGCACCATTCCGGCCTCGGTGCCTCGGCTTGGCGAGTGGGCAGGGGGTGTCGGGGTCCCGCTCCCTCGGGCCTCCCAGGTCAAGAGGAAAAGCTCCCAAGGATCTCCCCTTCGTCCCCATCTCCTGCCGATACAGTGCGGCCCCTGGGTGCATCGTCGGCACTGGGGTCTCTGGCGCTGCCGTTGGCCTGCGAGGCTCCAGCCGCGACACAGCCCAAGGGCAACAAGGCCCTTCACACGGGGCGTGGGGGGGTCTAGCTGGAGGTGACGGTGGTCCCGCCGCCCAGGCGCATGAGCATCTGCTGGCAGTCGTGCAGCAGCCGGCGGTCCCCGAGCTTCTCCGCCCTTCACAGGCGTGGGGGGGTCTAGCTGGAGGTGACGGTGGTCCCGCCGCCCAGGCGCATGAGCATCTGCTGGCAGTCGTCCAGCAGCCGCC